GGAATCCCGCCTTCAAACCGTGGTTCAGAAGGTTCTGTATAATGTTGTCGCTCTTGGAGCCACATTCCAGGTTGATCGTATGGGTGGAGCCGGACCTACCACTCTTCACTGCTCTTCTCCCTGCTGCTTACCTCCTCTTAACCGTTTTGAAAAGCGGTAATGGAGAGGAAAGGATAGTAGGTCCAGCTTCATTCACATGAAAAGTGTGACAAAATGTGTCTTCAAGCTGCCAAAGGGCACTGCTTCATGCCAGTGCATGTACTGCTTAACTTACCGCTCTGAGCTCCACTTGGGCATTCGGAACGAAGGCTGTCGGAACGCCGCCGTAACGAGTTGGGTTTCCTGAAGTCATAAGATAAAACATAATTGCAGACTGAAGGTTGGATTGGGTGAATCACGAAAGGAGAGCAGTTGAAGGTGATTTCCAAACTGTGTCTCACCTCCAGAACTGGCGCTTGTTGTCGTCGACTGATTAAATGAAAGAGTTGTTCGACGCCTTCTCACCGTTGGAAACTTGACTTTGGCCGCTTTGCGCCGATGGTCGTCGATCAACTACTGACGCAGGAAGCTGAACAGATTGTCATTGAATTATAGAAGAACCTTACTGTTCATCTTCAGTGAGAACATTTTCTGAAACCCATTTATACGCTCCACATCCTGGACCTGGAGGAAGAAGGGGGAGGGGGAGGAAAGTTGCTGCGCACTTTCATTTGAACATGGCGTAGGATGTTCTTCGTGGGATATCTTCATTCAACATTACTGCCATTTCGTCTTTTGCTGGCCCAAGCCATGATTTTAACTGTCTCAGAAAGGCGGTTTACCACTATAAGCGCAGCCGACATCACACTCAGATAGAGCACGCAGCCGCGCCTTCTCCATCTCTGGAATATCTCTGGGATATGTGCTGTACGTACGAGGGAAACAAGAATTTATTGTCACAGAGTTCGCGTTTGGAGGCACCAATTGAGAACTAGCGTGGAGCCTGCCTCTGCTGATTTAATACTTTTCTCTCTCAGGGATCTCTGACTGGGTGGTGAGAACTCCCCATGGCTCAAAGGCATTTAGGCTTAATTATTTTGGAGCTTTGGGAGAAATCTAAGTCGGTCTTTGGGCGAGTCTCGACCGTATGTAGATGCGGTAGCAGAGACGTTTGTACTGCCTCACCTCGGCCTTAGTTGCATATGAACGTAGGTCCAGTGACAATAATTTCCCTTAGAAACGGTTTGGGGCGTGTAATCGGCTTCACCAAGCACTGCTCTATAAGTTACTCATTTGCACCGCTGCCGCGGCTCGGAAGTGAATCGCGAGGGCGCTGAGGTCATCACACGACGAGGTGACTTCCTTCAACTGTAGCTGCCCTTCCACAGAAGTGCGATGACAAGTGGGTGGGTGGTCTATCACCGAGCTCGCCTTTGTGTCCTCTTATATTTCGTCTCTGAGCTCTCGACCATGCTCCCAGGGTCTCTACCCCTCGCGCTTTCTTGTCCAGCGCTCAGAATCGACTGCAAAAGAAGTCGCCTTCTTCGGAGGGGATTAGTCAGCGGTTACGCCTGTTTTTTTCACCATCAAGCCAGTAAGCACCAACAAATTCATATGCAAATCACACTATCTTGGCTTAGAATTGTCAGTTGTGCCTAAGGGACAGGTATCTGAAAAGTCTGAGCTTGAGACACTTTCATCCCTGTTCTAGTCATAAGCACATAACCAGTAACTAAGTTACCCCTGTTACCCTTGTGCTTGTGCTTACCCCCCTGGAGGACTTTATGGCCATTTTCTGCATGGAATGTTTTGGGGCTCTCTGCATGAACCAGAACACCAGCTGGATAAGTTTGACAGTGGATAGAGGCGGTCGGCTAAACTGGGGAAGAAAAGAGAAGAGGGCATTTGCTAAAGTGGTTCTAATAGTGGGTTAATGGCTATAGAACAGCAGCGGGTAAATGGGCTTGCTCCGCACGACGCGAAGTCCCAGCTCAAGGAAATTTTTGAATTAATCCTCACTTCGTTCGTTATTCCGTGGGAAAGGTTCATCTGCTGAACAGCCTGGACAGGAGGAGCCGTCCGATTCGTTTTTCGTGTTGACGTTCGAAGGCGATCAACTCGTCCGTTGATAGCCGGTGCTCGGCCTTTCCATGGATGGGCCTAAAGTCCTTCCATTAAGCTATCACTGCCAGAGATCAAACAATACTGCGA